TGACACCTGCCATTTGTATGAACACCTTTCTACAACATGGCTAACATTCCTATTCTCTGGAGCCTGGGCTTCAGAGGTTCTCAACCAGAGGCAGTACCAATCCTCTAAAGTTGTGTTTTGAAAAGCATGAAAGGAGTTGTATTTGTTTTTTGTTATTGTTGTTTTGTTGTTACAATGACTGAGAGTGCTACAGGCATGAAGAATTTTTAAGATACTTCATCTGCAATGTAGGATTACATTGCCCAAAATACCATCCTCTCTGAGAAAGACTAGCATCTAGCAAAATCGTACAAATTTCTTAGAACTCAACATAGGTATCACTTCCTTTGGGAATTCTATTCTGATTCAAAAACTTTGACTCAGAGCATGCCAGCCCCTCCCATATCACTATACTTACCACAAAATAATAGAGTTAATTGTTTACCATCCTTACCAGAAAGTTTAATTTTTGCTGAACTACAAAATTAGTAAAATTCTGAGTGCTTAAATAAGCAAACTTAGCCGGCGCCGCGGCTCACTAGGCTAATCCTCCGCCTAGCGGCGCCGGCACACCGGGTTCTAGTCCCGGTCGGGGCACCGGATTCTGTCCCAGTTGCCCCTCTTCCAGGCCAGCCCTCTGCTGTGGCCAGGGAGTGCAGTGGAGGATGGCCCAGGTGCTTGGGCCCTGCACCCTCATGGGAGACCAGGAAAAGCACCTGGCTCCTGGCTCCTGCCATCGGATCAGCGCGGTGCGCCGGCCGCAGCGCGCTGTCCGCGACGGCCATTGGAGGGTGAACCAACGGCAAAAGGAAGACCTTTCTCTCTGTCTCTCTCTCTCACTGTCCACTCTGCCTGTCAAAAAAAAAAAAAAGGCAAACTTACCAGCGTGAGCAACTCCACATGCTTTTTTGACAGGATCTGCAAAAACTATGGGGATACAGTCAGCACCAAGAGCTGCTATCGTGACTCCTCTCTGATTTGTGGTTATTCCATCATAAGATTCAGGTTCCTTCCTTCCCATAATCCAGACGTCACTGGCATGATCAGTCTAATACCAAAGATATGTGACAAAAATATGTTTTGGAAGTGAGATTTCTCACACCAGAAGCTTTTCTGAAAGTACACATTTCAGAACAAAGTAATATACTAAAGTAATATACAAAATAATACTAAAATCAATTAAATATACCACTTCTATGTGTAGTAAAACAGCAGTTAATTCTGCATATTTCATTCAAAGGATGCAGTTTAACATTTAAAAATTCAGTACAGTCCATCACAAATACCTCCCCACTAGAAATGGGTAAATGTCTATTTACAGCACTTTTCACAAGGAAATTTGACTTTTTTATAAAGAGAGCTAAATTAATTACTAAAGCATCAATATTTTTATTTTTTCTAGACTCAAGTAGAGTTAAAAATTTTATGATGAATAAGATACTATATCATTAATTATGACCTGAGTTCCATTAGTGTTGATTTAGAAAATTATAACCTTTCTTTTCCAACATTAAGGACTTTTCTTCTATATCAAATAGAGAAGTGAATGGTACTACAACCCCTGAGAATGCATCATATTTTTAGAATCAGGAACTCCAGATGAAATATATATCATAGAGTTGATCTTTAGGCTGTATATAAATCTAAGAAAAACACAGCATTATTCTAAAATTTTAGATAAAACACCAGATGCAAAGGTTAAAAAGGTTAAAGTTTATGCCATTAAGCAGACTAAAAAACATACTTTAGGTCTCAAAATATAAAGTAAAATTTTACCTTTATTCGGTAAAATTTTTTCATATTAAATCCTGCAGTATTTGCCAATCTACGCAGATTTTCTTGAACAACTGCCTTAGGATCTCTCCGTTTGGAACTACAGAAAAGATTGAATGAGCTAAGCGTTGGTATATAAGATATCCCACCTGTTCTTGTAGTAAATCCATGTGTGAAAATATCTGTTGAGGATAAGTGATGAAGATTAAAATGATGGAATACAAAAGACTATAAAACCACGTCTGTTAAACCTGCCCAAATTTCTTCATCCTGTGTTTATTAATCTAGCTTCTGATTTCTACAGCACTTTGTATTTCCATATTCTCTTATTACTTACTGGTCTGAGTTTGTTTGTTTCACCTGCCTATGGGATTATTGATCTGCAAAGGGTATTCTGTCCCATTTGACTTTGTTCAACCCAATGGTATACAGTGTTGTTAATACTATTCAACCAAAAGGAAAGATAATTTTAAACTTCACTATTTTGAGAAGGTGCCAACTAGTGGAAGTTTCAAACTTTCCAGGTCATAAATCTTATTTTAAAGGAGGGCTTTTTTTTTTTTAATTATTACTATTAAAGCAGAATTTTCAAAAAGCAAACTCTTTAAATTAGAGTAACTTTGTAGGGGTCATCCTTTGACACCCCTGACATCACAGGCCATCCATGACACCCTCACATTGCAAGTGATGCTAATGAGCAATAATCTCACACTGTCAATCAAAGAAAGGAGGAACAAGAAGTGAACAGCCTCGGAAGACAGGCTTGCTTTTTCTCTTTCACAGTAAAAACAACAGTTAGGGTTTAATATACCTGGGATCAAAGGAGATGTGATAATAGTTAATTCTCCTTTCAGCGCTGGCAGACTGCTCAAATATGTTTCTATTTCTTTCTGGATCTCTTCTAGTTCTTGAGCTGTGATCACATTTATTTCAGTGGACTGTTTGAAAAAGCCATCCCTCAAAGTCATCTGTAAATCTTCAAACTCGAAATTGTAAACATCAGTGAAGAGTTCATCAACAAAGGCCTTCATTAATGCTTTTCTGTGCATGGGTACAATGATCTTAATGCTGCTCAGATTTTTTTCATCAATTTTTTGTTTAATAGTATACAATGAGGCAGCCATGCTGGGATTGTTAACAGTCTCAAATTCTCTCAAGAGAGTTGATAATCCATTGCTTGCTTCTAATTCACAATTATCATGCTCACCATCCCTTTCACAGCTGATGGGGTTATGACACATTATGCAAAGGAACTTGGCCTTGGAAGCATGGTGGAATTTGATGGCATTCAATGTCTTCAGTAATCTCTGATGGCTGTTTTTCTGAGAGTTCAATTTCAAATCAAAGAGATCTATCACAACTGCTTCTGCCATTCTTCAATGCTTTAAAGTTCTTCAACGACTTCTGTGCCAAGTTAATCACCTGTAAAGAAAAATTGGCATAAAAATATATCAACTTCTTACAGATATAAAAGAAATTTGTAGTAGATTTTAAAAGTGACCGTACTGATTTGAAAATGTAAACAAAATACTAAACCCAGGCCCTTCTCAACAAAACTAATCCACTATTCGTCATCAGACAACCACAACAGCGAAAGTGAAGTCACCTTCTAATTCACTTTCTGAAAGTGTTGGTATGTCTTTCCAAAAAAGCAGTTCCTCTGTGCTGTTTCTTCTCTATATAGAAATGTTAAGTAGGGAATTACTTCTTACGTTAGACAAAGCTTATTTCTTAATTATAGGTGTTAACCTATGTGATGATCCTTAATCCTGACAGGACTGTCATATTAGGTCATACTTTTTCATAGGAAATACGAGGTCCTGAAGTTAGGCAGGTTAAGCAATGCTGTACCTGAAAATCGTGTCGTTAAGGAAACACAAGTTGTGAGACGACTGCTCCATCTCTTTAGGATTTACACAGTACGATTTGGCTTCCTACCTTCGTTCTGACTCATTCTCAGCAGATTTTTCTCATTTTCAGTCCTGGTCCTGCCACCCCAGTCCTCGGTGCTGCCCTGACCTCTGCTCCCCACATCTCATGCGCTCCGGTGGAGGGCCATTTCCCGTTTTGAAAAGGTGACCGCTTCCTTCCCCTCCACACTGTGGATTTCCACACGGGGCCCCTGTCACCGCCAGATCCCTGTCCCCCACAGGACCCCTGCTCGATACCTAGAACTGTGCACCTGCCCTGGTGGGGACCTCCACCCCCTTTCACTGCCCCCTTTCCGCCCTCCCCCACCCCCCTTTCCCTGAGAACTTTCCGACCGTCAGATGCACACCAGAGGCGGGCTCCGGGGTCCCGCCCTCTCACGTTCCTCTGCATACCTGGTCTGCCGCGGGGAGCTCGGTTAGGACGGGCCGCCCCCCACCTCTTCCCTGAGTCTCAGTGGAATCCGGAGCCACGAGCTTGTCACCTGGAGTCAGAAGCCCGTCCCGGAGGCGGCGACGCCCGCCCCTCGTCACCTCACCTCACCTCACCTCACCTCACCCATCCCACCTTGGCCTCACGGATCCCCCGCCTGGCATCGACCCGGACTCTTCGCGCAAACGACGGCCGGCCGGCCGGGGCTAGGACGGCAGACTGCAGCGCGGCGGCACGGAGCTCCCGGGTCGAGCGGGGCTGCGGGGCGTGCCCCGCGCGGACGCGGCGGGCCGGGCGCCCTCGCTGGGGAATCCCGGGATGAGCTAAGCGCGCGCGCCCGGCGCGCCTCAGCAGTTCCGGGTCAGGGCGGCCCGGCGGAGCCCGTCCTGCGACCCCGGCGAGGGAAGAGGAACAGGCGCCTGAGCGCAGCAGAGGCCTGTGGCCGGAGCCAAGGCGGGTCCGCAGCCGGCAGGCAGGCAGGCAGGCTGGGCTCCGAGAAGGGGAAGGGGCTGTGGGCCCCGTGAGGAGGGGAGGCGAGAGGGGCGACCGGGTCCCGTGAGGGGAGCTGGGAGGCGGCAGCCACCTCAGGATTCCAGACGTTCTCTGAGCACGGAGGCCCCATCCCCGCGCCGAGGGGGCGCTGACGCAGCAGAGTGCTCGGGACACCTGGCCCGGGAACCGCATCACGTTACTTCTTGGCAGCTTGCCCTGTCTGGAGTTCAGATAGTGGGTTTCTGTGGGGGAAATTCCGCTAGTGTTTTGTTTCCATTGTTTCCAGAAACAAGTTGCTTGGTCTCCTCCCGGGGTGTTTTTTTTGCTGACTCTGCTGTTCTAGCTGAGGAGACCCAACGGGCTCTACAGCGCCCTCATAGCTTTGACAACGCGTATGTCCTGGGTGTCTTTTTAAAAATGTGGGACAGTAGAAGTCACTAATCCTTAAGTCCTGATAAAGGTACAATTAAACATCCTTTATCTGTACGCCAAGAGTAAGTTTTTAAGTTGGGAGCCGCCACTATGTGAAATGCAGGTGTTGTGGTGGAGGGGAACTCATTAGCTCCCTTCCTCTTCTTCGCTGTTCACGTAAGTGCTGAAGCATTTTTACCTGAATGAGAAAGAACCTCAGATTTCTGGCAGTTTAGAAGAACCCTCAAGAGTGGCACTTATTTCTACTTCTCTGGAGAATGAGAACACTAGTCCAGATTAAGAACCTTCCTTTTCAGTATTCATGGCATCTGGTTTTATCAAAATTTTCATTGATTGGACATTGGTTAAAAACCCTGAGCAGTAGATGGTGCACCTGATTAGGAGGTGCTCTTACTGCCCTGAGCTTGTTTTTATGTTAAATCCTAACTTAGGCAAAATAGAAGTCTCTTAGTTATAGAGTAAGTTTAAAACATTTATCTCTGTTCTTATGGACGGTGATGGGTTTTCGTATTCCCTCAGGCAACAGTTGTGGTAGCAAAACTATTCAGAAGAGTGAGGCTGTTGGGGAAGACGGAGTTTGTTATATTGTATTTATATACTGTTTCCTTTTTTTAAAAAAGTTTCATTTATTCGAAAGAGTTAACAGAGAGAAAAGAGGGAAAAGACTAGTTTACTCCCCAAATGGCCACTACAGCTGGGGCCAGGAGCTGGGAGCTTCTTCCAGGTGGCCCACATGGGTGCAGGGGCCCAAAATCGTGCAATCTTCCTGTGCTTTCCCAGGCCATTAGTAGAGAGCTGGTTTGGAATGCCTACAGGCAATGGCTTAACCCACTAGGCCACAACTCCAGCCCCATACTGTTTCCTTTTACCTTCTGGTTCCATCCTCATCTAATCCTTTACTACATTCTCACACACCCTACTCCCCTGATTCTCAATTCTGGCTGAAAGAACTACAAGTGGTACTTTTAAAAAATAACAATAATGCAGACACCCCATTCCAGATACACAGTGAATCAAAGCCTCTGTGAGCCATGCCTAGACACGTTTTCTTTTGTCTTATGAGCCTTTTTAAGATTGATTTATTTACTTGAAAGGCAGAGAAAAAAAAAAGCATGAGAAAGAGAGAGAGAACTTCCATCCACTTTTTCACTCCCCCAAATGGCAATAACAAACAGGACTGGGTCAGGCAGAAGCCAGGAGAACTCCATTCAGGTGTTCCTTGTGGGTGGCAGCGGCCCAAGCACTTAAACCTTCTGATTTCCTAAGTATATTAGCTGGGAGCGGGATTAGAACAAGAGCAGCAGGGATTAGAACCAATGCCCATACAGGATGCCAGCACTGAAGACAGTAGTTTATCCTGCTGTTCCACAATGCTGGCCCCCATCTTTTTTGTATTAACCTCTACAGATGTTTCAGATGCATAGGTTTGAAAAATAAATCTCCTATTCCTGAGCCACATAAAGGCTGTTCTGTGGATAGGCCACATGATTTTATCCTTTACATTTGCTTGTACTTAGACACCCCCCTTCTCTTTATATGGAACCTTTATCTATATGGAACCTTCCTTGAATCCCCATCCCTCAACAAGAAAAATTAATGACTTCTTCATTAGCATTTTGTTCCTGTGCAAAAATCCCTATCACACATGCTATCTGGATCCATAGCCAACCAGTAAATTGAAAATGTTGGTTAAACATTGAATTGTACACTTTAGAAGAATTAGAAACTAAAGTAATGCTTTGTTTTTAACAGAAAAGGAAAAGCCAGTTAAGCCAGATTATTGTTTAAAAAGTAAGAAAAATACCTTAAACTTTTAACTGTAGCCTAAAACAATTATATACTTGTTCCCAATCTCTTGAGAAAGGCCAAGCCCTTTTCTTTGTGTGTGGTCTGCTGCTTGTAGTTCTGCATTTTATGTCTTACATAACCAGTACTTCATACTATAGGGAAAGATTTCACAACATTTTGACCCTGTAAAAGGAAAGTAACTTCAAGGCACTTATAAAGTAATCTGAATGCATGTTTATTCTTTATAATGTTTTATAGTTATCTCACACACATTTGTTTTACACTAAACATAGAATTTAAAGAAACAAACTTCATAGTATTTTATTGATTATATAACATTTAACTAAGTTATGAAAACACAGTATGAAGTACAACTGGAATGAACAGGTTTGGAAACAAACACAAAGAACTCATGGCAAGATGGAATGGTTCAACTAGTAGAAGCAGAAATAAGCAGACATACTAGAGAAGAGTTTCCTAATCATGAGCATTTAGCATATGGGGATTAGCTCCATATGACTTATAAAGGAAATAGAGTGAGTTAATGTTAGAGATCAAGTGTGTGTAGGTTAAGAAAGCATCAACTCTATCTCTCCTTTTTAATTATTTTATTATGTGTCTTTCTCCCTCGTAGACTTGGAGCATTTTGAGGGGAGAGATAGAGCCTGGCTGTTCAGGGGAACTACTGGGGAAATCCCCAGACATTCTTACAACACCATGTAAATTTTCTCTTGAGAACAAGTGGAATTTAAAAAGCTGTGAACAGTTGTTTTTAAGCTATTTTCACTAAAATTTATGGGTCTTTCCAGAAAAGGCCATGTAACAGATGCAAATTTCATTATCAAAAGCTTGTATTAGTTCCTAAGGCTGCCATGGCAAATTACTAACAACTGGGTGGTTTAAAGTAATGAAAACTTATTCTCTCACAGTTATGGAGGCCAATTATATGTTAGCATATTTTCAGGACCTTGCACCCTTTAAAGCTCTCCTTGCCTTTTCCATCTTCTAGTGGCTCCAGATGTTCCTTAGTTAGTGGCTCCATGACTTGGGCCTCCTCTGCGTTTGTCTTCACATTGTCTTCTTCCCTGTGTATGTTGAGTATCAGAATCCCTCTCTACCTTTCTCTTATAAGGACACCTGTATGGAAATAAAACAAACCAAATGAGGATAAGCAAGGGATATTTATTCAGAGCTTATATGGTGGTGAGCCATATAAGCCAAATACACCATCAAGTGTATTTGGGATGGCTGGCACTGCGGCTCACTAAACTAATCCTCCACCTGCAGCGCCAGCACCCCAGGTTCTAGTCCTAGTTGGGGCGCTGGATTCTGTCCCAGTTGCTCCTCTTCCAGTCCAGCTCTCTGCTGTGGCCCAGGAGTGCAGTGGAGGATGGCCCAGGTCCTTGGGCCCTGCACCCACATGGGAGACCAGGAAGAAGCACGTGGCTCATGGCTTCAGATAGATGCAACACACCGGCCACAATGCGCTGGCTGTAGCGGCCACTTGGAGGGTGAACTGGCGGAAAAAGGAAGACCTTTCTCTCTGTGTTTCTCTCTCTCACTGTCTGACTCTGCTTGTCAAAAAAAAAAAAAAAAAAAAATAGTGTATTTGGCAGAGTTCAAAGGCAGGTAGAAGAATGGGTATGCCCTTGTTGGAGGCTGTTGTTATGGCACAGCTGCTGGCAGACTAATTAGATATTAGGCTATCCTTTGTGGTTAGGGGCATATTTTGTTCCAAATTCAAAGTAGAAACAAAAATTAGAAAAGATGTCAATTATTAGTCAAGTACTGCCTAAGGTTAACTTTCTGGATTGTTACTAGATAATAGACTTTTTTATAAGTGATTTGTAGATAGCAGCCCTGGCTTCTTAAACTGGTTACTGTAGCTAATAGGTTGGTTTCTTGTGTTGGTTGCTGCAGATTGTGGATCAAATTTCTACATATATTTAAAGATTTATTTATTTATTTAAGAGAGGGAGAAAGAGAATCTTCCATCTGCTAGTTCATTCTCTGAAATGGCTAAAACAACAGCCAGGCCTGGACCAGGTGGAAGCCAGGATCTGGGAACTATCTAGTCTTACACATTTGCAGCAGGGGCTCAAATACTTGGACTATCCTCCATTGCCTTCCCAGGCATATTAGCTGGAAGCTGAATCAGAAGCAGAGGAGCTAGAACTGAAACTGCACTCTGATATAGTATGTGAGCATTGCAAGCAGAGGCTTAACCTGGTGTGCACAATGCTGGTCTCCAGAGTTCAATTTTTATATATGATCTGGTCATTGCGTATTCAGTCTCTCACCTGCCATTGAATTTAGGGAGCACCTTAAATCCAGTATTATCTCATTTCAAGATCTCCGGTTATATCTACAAAGATCTTTTTGCAAATAAGACCACACTTACATGTTCTGGGAGTTAGAACATGGACATATCTTTTGGGGGCTCTTCTTTAGTTTACTACAATGCTCTCTTAATTTTGGAACCATTCTTGTTTAGCAGAGGAAAATGGCCTTGTCCCTTACTGTCCTAAATATGAAAAGTATATAGATTATGAGTAGATTTCACCAAAGGCCTATAATTTCTGTCCTGGTGGTAGGAGACTTTGGGAAACATTTGTCTAGGCATCCTTTAAAGCTTCCAAAATAAGATATTTTAATAGTCTAGCAGTGTCTATATATTCAGAGAAATTCCACTGTTGGGAGAAAACCAGAGGCAATGTGGAGAATGTGTGAATGTTGCCAATATTATCTTGGATAAGCAGTTAATGAACAGTACCAAACCCTGTGCTTGCTTTCTGTTTTCAGTGTCTGAAACTTGAATCTCATTACCTGGGCAGACAAGAGAGTAATCCTTCATTTTGGCAGATTCTAAGATATTGATATATAATATGTATATAATAACTTTAGTAATTCAACTAATAAATATGTTTTGGATGATTGATAATGTTATGACTTCTCTTAGATATAGTTGAAAAGGCTTGGAGTATTCTCTAAAGTCTGTTTGTATTGATTTATGCAATTCTAATGAATTATCAGTAGATGGCAGTAGATTATTTTCAGTTTTATTTATCACTTCGATTCAACAGAGATCTGCAAGAAAAAAAAAAGCAAAAGCAAACCTAAAACTTTCCAATTTTATAAGACTTATTATTTCTTCAATAGTTGTTTTAGGTAAATATCACCCAAGAATTCTTCAGTGTTACTGCAGAAATAGAGATCAAGAAGTACCAGATACTTTTAATTGTACAAGTCTAATTTTCTTCATTCTTGAAATTAATCCATTAAATATTTTAAGGAGCACAAAAATGAGTAAGGTACCATCTTGGCCTTCCTGGAGTTTATAGTCTAATGGAGAAAGAACAAAATAATAAGAATAGAAATTTGTTGAGTATTACTGTGTGGCAGGAACTTGCTTAATGTTTACCATGCATTACTTTTAGGCCTCACAATAACCATAATAAGGCAAGTAATACTGTTGTTTCTAATTTACAGATAAGCAATGAGGTCCAGGTTAGAAATAATTTACCTAATAAACTAGTAAATGGCACAACTTAGATTCAAAACTAGCCCTATCATTCTCTAAGACTTACACTGTTATCTGTCATGGTATAACAGAGATATAGAAACAGTTGTACTAAAAAGAGAGATCACATTTTCCAGAAATATCAAAAAAAAAAAAAGGACTTCTTAACAAAAACGCCAATTAGAATGAAGTTGAAAGATTGGCTGTGGTGCCATGGATTAAACCAACACCTGCAGTACCAGTATCCCATATGGACACTGGTTTGTGTCCCAGATGCTCCACTTGTGATCAAGCTCCCTGCTAATGCTCCTGAGAAAGAAGTAGAAGATGGCCCAAGTGCTTGCACCCTGTGGGAGACCTAGATACAGCTGCTGTTTCTTGGCTTTAGTGTGGCCCAAGCCTATCCATTGCAGGCATTAGGGGAGAGAACTAATATATCTCTCACTTTCCTCTCCCTCTTTCTCTAACTCTGCCTTTCAAATAAATAAATAAATCTTCAAAAAAAAAAAAAAAAAGATTGGCTGTATTGTTGACATTATTCTGTTAGAACAGGGTGAATTGGAATGGAGGTAGACCACAGTTAGGCACTTCTTACATGCTAAGCACTTTTTTTAGATTTATTTATTTATTTATTTGAAATGCCAAGCTCCTCTACTTCTCATTGATCCAACTCCTTACTAAAGTGCCTGGGAAAGCAGCGAAAGATGGCCCAAGTGGTTGGGCCCTTGCCACCCATGTGACAGACCCAGAAGAAGCTCTTGGCTCCTGGCTTTGATCTGGCCCAGTGGATCCTGGCTCTGCTGGTTCACTCCCAAACATCTGGGAGCTTCATCCAGATCTCCCGCATGGGTGCAGGGGCCCAAACACTTGGGCCATCTTCCACTGCTTTCCCAGGTTATCCGGTAGGGAGCTAGAATGGAAGCAGAGCAGCCTGGACTCAAACCAGAGCCTCTATGGGATACTGGCATTGCAGGCAGTGGCTTGACTCACTAGGCCACAGTGCTGGCCCCCTCAAATATAATTTGAAGGTGGAATCAATGGATTTTGCTAAAAGAATTGTGTGCACCATGTAAAGGGAAGAAAAGTTCAGATTTGGGCTATACAAGGCAAGATTGTAAGACAAACATCAAGAAAGGACCTATATAGGAATGGCAGTAGTAAGAGTTTACGCTACTCAACCTGAAGTCCAAGACTGGTCAGAATATATTGAAGTGCCTTCTGTGCCCATTTTATATTTTTCTATTGAAAACTGGAGCACTCAGCCCACCATTGAAGATTGGTCTGCACCTCCCAATGGCTCAGGTCATTGAATGGGTAGGAACAACCACCAAGTGGTCTGAAAGCTGTTTTTCCATAGGTCCCTTTTTATTAAAATTTATTTATTTATTTGAAAGGCAGAGTTACAGAGAGGCAGAAGCAGAGAGAGAAAAAGGTCTTCCATCCACTGGTTCACTCCCCAAATGGCCACAATAGCCAGAGCTGTGCCAATCCGAAGCCAGGAACCAGGAGCTTCCTCGGGGTTTCCCACGTGGGTTCAGGGGCCCAAGGACTTGATCCATTTTCCACTGCTTTCCTGGGCTATAGCAGAGAGCCCAATCGGAAGTGGAATAGCCAGGACTTGGGCCGGCGCCCATATATGATGCTGGCACTGCAAGTGTTGGCTTTACCTGCTATGCCGCAGTGCTGGCTCCTCCATGGGTTCTTAAGCAAAATGGAAATAATCATGAAAGAAAATAAATGCTAGTTTAAGAAAATATGATATTTTTATAAAACATACATGACCAATGGAACAGAATAGAGTCCACAAGAAAAGTCACACATCTACAGCTAGTTGATCTTTGACAACAGTGCTAAGAATATGCCTTGAAGAAAGAACATCTTTTTAATAAAGAGATCTGGGAAAATGGGATATCCAAATGCAAAAAAATGACACTAACCCTCATCACACCAATCTCTACCCATGTACAAAAATCAACACAAATGGATTATAAGCCTAAATGTCAGGCCTGAAACTGAGATTACTTAGAGGAAATAGTAAAAATGCTTCAGGATATTGATATGGGCAAGATAAGCCCTCCAAAGCACTCAAAACAAAAGCAAAAAATAGACCAATGATATTTCATCAAACCAAATAGCTCTACACAACAAAGGAAAAAATCAGCAAAGTTAGAAGAGAGCCCACAGAATGAGAGAAAATATTTGCAAGCTATAAATCTGACAAGGGGTTAATAACCAGAATATAATGGAACTCAACTCAATAGCAAAGAAGAAAAAATATAAAAGGAAAATCCAATCAAACAGACCTAAAGAGATATTTTTCAAAAGAAGACACACAAATGGCCAACATGTATATGATAAAAATACCCTCTATCACTAATCAGGGAAATACAAATCAAAGTCATAATGAGGTACCAACTCACTACAGTTAGATTGACTTATTAAAAGCAGATAACAAGTTCTGTTGAGGATGTCAAGAAAAGGGGGCCGGAGCCATGGCTCACTAGGCTAATCCGCCTGTAGCGCCTGCACCCCGGTTTCTAGTCCCGGTTGGGGCACCGATTCTGTCCCGGTTGCTCCTCTTCCAGTCCAGCTCTCTGCTGTGGCCCGGGAGTGCAGTGGAGGATGGCCCAAGTCCTTGGGCCCTGCACCCGCACTGGAGACCAGGAGGAAGCACCTGGCTCCTGGCTTCGGATTGGCACAGCTCCCCCAAAAATTAAAAATATAACTACAATATGGTCCAGCAGTCCCACTGTTGGAAGGGGCCAAACAAGTAATGTACCCCCAAACTTAGCAGAAATCCTGAGAAGAAAAAATAAAGGAGGATGCTCCATCTGAAAATAAGAGTGTATTAGAGCAACTTACATATGGAATTCTAGACCAAGGTAGCAGGTGATTTCAGCAACAATGCTTATCTCACACACAACAGTTGAAGAGGCAAAGTTTGACCCTTTTACATATGAGGAGCTGAAGGTTGGAACTTGTGCTACAGCATTTCTTTACTGATCTTTAGGAATATATCTTAGGCATCTTGCTGAGCATTTTGACTATCAGTAAGGTTTGTGATAACACTTTGAGGCTGGAAAGTGACACCAGTTAGGCTGACAGGTGGCCAGTCATTAGCATCCTAAGAGAGACTCAGTACAATGTCATCATAATTTGCTGTTACATTCCCACTACAGAGTATATGAGTGTATCCAAAGGAAATTAAACCAGTCTGTTGAAGAAAAATCTGCACTCCAATGTTTATTGTGACATTATTTACAGTAGCCAAGAAATAGAAACAACCCAAGTGCCCATCCACTGGTGAATGGATAAAGAAAACATGGTACATATACACAATGAAATACTATTCAGCCATAAAAAAGGATAAATTCTTGTCATTTCCAAAAACCTGGATGAGACTTGAGATCATGTGTTAAATGAAATAAGCCAAGCACAGAAAGACAAGTGCTGCATAATTTCATTCACATGTACAATCTATGAAGTCAGATTGCATGGAAGTTGAAAGTATAGTGGTAGCTACTAGAGAGTAGGAAAAATAGGAAGAGGGAAAGTTTGATTAACTTTCTAAATTATAGCTAGATAGGAGAAAGTTACTGTATTCTCTTGCACAGAAGGGTGACTATAGGTAACAATGCACTGTATATTTTTACAAGGAAAAAAGGCTAGAAGGATTTTAAATATTTTTACCATGAGGAAATTATAAATATTTGGAGATAGATATGTTTACTGTGATTTGAAATTACACTATATATATATACATACACACATATAATCTAATCATCAAACAGCACCTTGTAATTATGTACAATTTTTATGTAACCATTAAAAATATTTTCAAAGATTCTGGCTTGTGTCTTGGGTGGGACAATCAGGGTTACAATCTTCAGCCACCTACTTATGGAGTATCTTTAAGGATTTTTAAAAAGGCCTCTGAAACATCAGCAATGGACTCTCCTTTATGAATGTCTTAGGCAATTCCAGTTCAATTATTCTGGGTCCCATACTCTTTAGAGACCTCTCTACTAATGAATCCAGGTTCTTGGCCTGAACAGTGAGAAAGATTAACTATTATAATTTACTGAGATAGAGGAGGCTTTGAAGGCATTACCTTAGTGGTAATGAAGGTGTATAGACAAGGGGAAACAGAGTTCAAGCTGAAATATGTTAGTCAAAAAGCCTTTTAGAAATCCATGTGAAGATATTGGCAATGTCATCTGGGTCTACTGTTTTAAGAAAGTTGTTTAGGATGGAATATAAATTTAGGTGTGTCAGCCTATACATGGAATATAAAGATTTAGAACCTGAATAACATCACTTGTGGAATGAGTATAGAAAAGAAAGAAATTTGAGAAATGAGCTTTAAGACACTGAAACATGAATAAAAAAGATGAGGAACGGTCAGCAAAAGAAACCGTGAAGTATGGTGTTTCATAAAAGGTGGTCATGATCAAATGGTGTCAAATGATACTAGTAGATCAAGTAAACTGAAGATTGAACTTTTCCATGAATGTAGCAATAAGCAGGTCATAGACACTTTGATAAGGACTTTAAAGGTTAAATAATGAATGATTGATTCTAGGGAGTTCCAGAATTATAGGAGAGAACAAGCATAGCATGACTAAGGAAGTGGGAAGAAGTTGGTAAATACCTGAAGGTGGATATAGTAACAAGCAAGGGTGGCACTAGTGGTTGTTGATTTATGATGGGCCATTCAATATCATATGTTTGACCAAGTAAAGAGAAATTCTGTTGAGGGGACATTAACTTAAGAAATGTCCTTGAATAGGTGAGAAAGGAGTAGAAAAATTGTCCTTTGATAGGAGCAGGGACAATTTATTCATTGTGAGAAAAGGATATACTAGTGTATAGTTCAAGTGTAGAAAAACTGGTGATTGGGTTATTTCCCAACCTGTTTCTTGCCCCCCCATCTCAGTTAAATAAGTAGTTATGTTATCAATTGGAAGAAAAAGGAAAAGAGATATTGGAGGTTTGAAGATAGAGGAAAATGAAAGAAATAATCAAGTATGAATGGCAAATTCTAAGGGCCTAGGATCAAGGATCAACTTTACATAAATGACCTTGAATTTAAAGTGAGACAACAGTGCAGTTGTATGTCTTTCTTTACACACATTCAGCTAATTGAGTGTAAATGAAGCAACTGGTTGGAGATTTTTTCCAGGGAAGTAGGACAGGGAAAGAGCCATAATGAATAGAAGGTATGTACAAATTCCAGGTAAGGAGAGATGGATGCATGAGGACCTGGGGGATCATATAAAGACAGAAATGTCAGTGGATTGAAAGACTTGATGTGACTAAATCCTTATAGTCAAAATACTAGGTGGAATTAGCTAGAAAATTATAAGGTAGTTTGATTCTGAGATTATGGATAAGGTACAAATATTATCTGGAGGTGGCTATGGAGAATGGACAAGAAGACACCAAATAACTGAGAAGTCAAAGTATTAGATATATCATCTATGTGATGTTGAGATCTCAAAGAAATAGAAGAGTAACTATACAGAAACAGTAGGCCATATACAATTGTCTAGGAATGAAGAGGGGACATCTAGAGGCTAGTTGGTAATAAGGAAAGGTAAAATAGCCATGTATGATGGCATGAACTTCAAAGAAACCAGACAATTTTAGAGGAGGGGAATAATAGTCTTGGAGAACAGGAAAAATGGCTCACCTCCAGACTTAGTGGCATGAGGATGAGTAAGCAGTGTCTTTGAATTTTAGTCAAAGCAAAAAGGTTAAGTGAGATTTTACTGAAGAGGTTGAAGATGTAGGCCATTTAGCTGAAGATGGACCATTAGGTTTAGAAGTCATAATGGAATGATATAAAGAGGTTGGGGAGAATAACAGTAAATGATTTACCAAGATGTATAATGAGTATTCATGATTGGGGAGGGGTGATCTGAGAGGCTTCTTTTGAAGACTAAGGTCTATAGGGGTATAGATTCAAATACAGTTTTAGTTTCCTTCTAAAATCTCTGACCATTGTATTTTAATCTTTTGCACTAATGGTGAAATGTCATTGCCATTCCTGTGACATATTTGACAATTAATTTAGCTTTCTATATTACCTATATTTAATGTGAAAAAAAGAAAATGAAAGAGTATTAATATACATTATTTTGTAGGAAAAAAAAAAAAACGGTTAACTGACGAAGGGGAAAGAGGAGATTATAGACTCAGAGAATGTCAAGCGACAAAGAAAGGACGAGCCAAACAGTTCTTACAGAAGGTAATGGAGCAATCTTTTTTTAAAAAACAGGCAATCAATAAATATTTTATTGTTGCTCATTATTTATTTATTTTTCCCCAGAAACCTTTTATTTAAGGTATATAAACTTCATGCATTACATAAATACAACTTGAGGAACATAGTGATAGTGGTTCTTCTCACTGTACCCACCCTTCCACCTTACTCCTACTCTTTCTTCTTCTGCCCTCTCATTCTTATTTTTTACTAAGATCTATTTTCAATTAAGTTTATAAACATAAGATTAACTCTATACTAAGTAAAGAATTTAATAAATAGTATAAAAAAAACTGTTCCTCAACAGTTTTTTGATTTCTCTTTTGATTTTTTTCAACGACCCAGTGTTCATTCATTCAGGAGCATGTTGTTCAGTCTTCATATGTTTGCATATGTTCTAGAGATTATTGAGTTGTTGACTTCCAGCTTCATTCCATTGAGGTCAGAGAAGATGTATGGTATTTTGATTTTTTTTAATTTGCTGAGACTTGCTTTTGTTTTGTAAACTTTGAAGAATTTATTTCAACTTCATTTATTTATTATATTTCTTGGAATGGGAATATATACATTATTCACTAATAAATGGCTAATGTTTTAAATTTACAATATTATTTTCAGAAACTTAAAAATTAAATGGGAAAAGTATAAAAAGTTCTCTGCTCTTCAGATTCAAAATAACACTTTTTACACAACCAAAACCTTTAACCAAAAATCCATAAATGCAACAAAATGGTCACAATTATCTTGATTATTAACACTGAAAAATATATACATGGTAGCTTCTGAAACATGGCAGATCAGTAATGGTCCAGTTTTTCGTTCTAAGTGTCGCTCCCCCTCTTCATGGAGGAACGACACAGGACCCTGCGCTGTTCTTTTGTCTGCTCGGCCCTCCCCGGGTTTGCTGCTGGTTCTCCCCGGGTTGGCTACCGACCCTTCCACCTCCGTGGAAGGGCGGTTCCCCCTAACCACTTTCCCCACTTCCGCAGGGGAGCGGCACACCACCGGCCGGCTCTCTCGGGGGCTGCACAGGTGTTCCTTCAGATAGATGTTCCCCTTAGATGTTCCTGGTGCATGTTGTCTCTCTCCTCCTTTATAGTCCTCTTCCACCAATCCCAACTCAGCTGCCCACACACCGAGTACGCTGCTCTCCTCCAATCAGGAGCAGGATCAGCTCCTGGAGGTCATCACTCAAGTTGGCAAGAAGCAGCTGCGTAGAAGCTGTTTCCTCCTCTCCCAGCACCATATTGTGGGAGAGCAGATGCATAGAATAAGTCTTAATTCCAGTAACTTAGTCTAGTCCGAGTTGCTCCCCACACTAAGCACACAAAGCTTTGCTCTTGATCATTTTTTTAAAGATTTATTTATTTTTTTACTTGAGAGACAGTTACACATAGAGAGGAGAGGCAGAGAGAGAGAGAGAGAGGTTTTCTATCCGATGGTTCACTCCTCAATTGGCCACAACAGCCAGAACTGCGCTGATCTGAAGCCAGGGGCCTGGAGCCTCCTCCTGGTCTCCCACGTGGGTGCAGGGGCCCAAGGACTTGGGCCATCTTCTACTGCTATCCCAGGCCATAGCAAAGAGCTGGATTGGAAGTGGAGCAGCCAGGACTGGAACCAGCGTCCATATGGGGTGCCAGCACTTCAGGCCAGGGCATTAACCTGCTACACCACAGCGCCGGCTTGATCATTATTTTTATTTCACCTTTTTCAAACACAGAAATTGCTCCAACTTTCTTTCAAGTTAAATAAACTTTTGGCATTTAATATTGGTGGTTCTTGCTAAGATTTAAGGATTCCCAACAACAATAATCAGAAAATGACCCACAGTTAAAATTATCCTAAAGGACTTACCACCTGAACTGTAGTCTATAATAGAGAAAGTTCCATGCACTTGTGAGAAGAATGTATATTCTGCAACGTATGATGAAAAATTCTGTAGATATCCATTATGTTCATTTGGTCTATAGTGCTGAGTAACTGTTGTTTCCTCAATGATTTTTTGTCTGGTTGATCTGTCTATTGCTGAAAGTGGGGTATTGAAGTCCCCCATTACTAATGTATGGGAGTCTATGTCTCCCTTTAGATACATTAACATTTCTATTAAATAGCCAGGCACCTTGTAATTAGGTGTGTATACATTTATTATAGTGACATCTTCCTGTTGAACTGATTGCTTAATCATTGCATAGTGCCCTTCTTTATCTCTTTTAACAGTTTTTGTGTTAAGTCTACTTTGTCTGCTATTAGGATGGCTATCCCAGCTCTTTTTTGGTTTCTGATAGCATTGAATGTCTTCCATCCTTTCACTTTCAGTCTGTGTGCATCTTTGTTGGCATGATGTGTTTCTTGTAGGCAGCAAGCGTATGGGTTTGTTTTGTTTTGTTTTCCATTCAGTCAGTCTGTATCTTTTAACTGGAGAATTGAGGCCATTTACATTCAAGATGATGATTGATAACTAACAACTTGGCCCTGCCATTTTTCCATAAATATTCCTATTGTTTACTTTGGATTTCCTTTGTACTTTTACTGGGAGATTTTGTGCCTTCACTTTATTTCATAGTGATGACAATGTTTCTGTGTTTCTGTTTGTAGCATATTCTTAAGCATCTTTTGTAAGGCTGAATAGATGGTGACAAATTCTTTTAATTTATGTTTATTAAGGAAGGTCTTTATTTCACTTTCATTCATAAATGAGAGCTTTGCAGGGCATAGTATTCTAGGTTGACACTTTTTTTCTCTTAAGACCTGGAATATATCTCTCCATTCTCTCCTAGCATATAGGGTTTCTGATGAGAAGTCAGCTGTGAGTCTAATTGGAGATCCTCTGAAAGTAATCTGGCATTTTTCTCATGCACATTTTACAATCTTTTCTTTATGTTTTACTGTGGAAAGTTTGACTACAATGTGTATGGTGAAAATCTTTTCTGGTCATGTTTATTAGGAATTCTATGTGCTTCCTGCACTTGGACATCCCTTTCTTTCTCCAAATTAGGGAAATTTTCTGTAATTATTTTGCTAAAAAGGCCTTCTAATCCATTCTTTCTTTCCATGCCCTCAGGAACTCCTAAGACCCATGTGTTGGTTTTTTTGATAGCATTCCATAGATCTCCAACAGTGTTTTATAGTTTTTTATTTATTTTTGTTTGTTTGTTTGACTGTAAAATTTCCAGAGACTTGACTTCTAACTCAAGATATTCTTTCTTTTCCCTCACCAATCCTGTTGTTAAGGCTTTCCACTACATTTTTTATTTGTTCTACTGAATTTTTCATTTCCAATATTTTCATTTTGATTTCTCTTTAAAATCTCAATTTCATGAGAAAAATTTTCTTTTATGTAATGTACAGACTTCTTTAGTTTGTGGATTTGTTCTGATTACTTCTAAGTAATCCTACCATCAATTTTTTTAAATTCAGTTTATGGCATTTCTTCAATCTCTTCATTTTCACATTGTAGTGTTGAAGTGTTGTTGTGTTCCTTTGGGGGCATCATGTTGTCTTCCTGATTCTTTTTTCTTGAATTGCTGCATTTATTTTTAGGTATTTGTAGAGATAAATGTTGGTTAATTTTTTTTTCTCTGTGATAGCTTTTATCTTTGGACTATGCCTCTGTGGATTAATGAGTGTCTGCTCTTTCAGTGAACACCCTGAGGCATGTGCTGGATGTGGCCAGGGGCCTGTGCTCAGTGCTCTAGGATGAGGGAAGTGTCCAAGGTGACTTCCAAATTGGGCATGCTAAGTCTTCTCCCTCTCTCTTTTTTTAATCAGAGTGGAGGTTTGTTCAGCTCTGTTGGAATAGTCTCATGCTCACCTCCTCTCCTTAAAGGAGACCAATGTCTGGATGCTAGCCCCAGTGGGCACAATATTCATCCGTGCTGCTACAGGAACCATACAACAGATCCATGCAGTCCTCCGTGTGAGCTTGGATCCTGCAGCAAAGACTCTCACCAGGGAATCAGGGAGCCAGGGAGCCCCAAGCGTGTGGAGCTGCTCAAGTGACTGCCCAAAGACCCAGCTACACCATGTGCCCTCACATTTAGCCACAGTATTTTCTCAGTCCCAGTCCCCAAGGCTCTCACACTTACAAGTACCCAGCCTCCTGTCAATTCTCTCAGACCTCAGGCATCTCTCCTCAGTTGGTTGCTAGGCACACTGACACGAGCTGGTGCAGCTGTAACGTATGTCCAAAATGATGCCCACCTGCTCTAGGCTAGTTACAAAACACTGGTGCCCAGTAGTCTGGGAGAGAGAAGCACGCCCCTATTTTTTTCACTCTAGGTTGGCAGGTACACTGTCCCCCACAGGGTTCCAAGCTAGACTAACACCAGGCTCTTCCTGAATCTCTGTTGCCAGTGGCTTGGGCAGTTAGTCTGCTCTCACCTCACTCTCCATAGCTGGTGCTGAGGCTCTCAGCTGTTGGAGCCCTGAGTTGGACGTGTCCACACCCTCCACCTAGATCCACAGTGTCCCTCTAATTTGCATGGAGTTTCCTCTGCCGTTTTTTCCCTAGCTCTTCTCTAGGACTGCACTCTCTCTATGTTTTTAAAACTATCTTCCCCTAGACTAGAGCAGTAAACTCCCTCCTTTTTCTGTCATCTTGGTGTCTCTCTTGAAGCAGTCTTAAGAGAAATAATTAAGAGATCAGAAGAAACAAGAAAAAAGTAATATGATAGGATAATTGTGTTAAAATTGATAGCAAATTAAAGATAGAGGGGAGCAGTTAAATTTTGCTAGAAAGATACATAGACAGCATTTTAAAAAGGTAAAACAACTTGAAAATATAGACCTATAAAGAAAATGTATCAACTATAATTTCTATACAGTTGTTATGGTAGTGTGTAATTATAGTATATGTGCAAAGGCTCTGGAAAAAAAGTAGGACAATCAAAATATTTATACTACTCCATAAAAGAATAGGTATGACAATGATGTAGGCCTGTTATTATTGTCTTTGATCTTGGTTTTGTTCATAGTTAGAGCGGGAAGATTGCCAGTCCTACATTAGTTTATTTATGAGAAACAAATCTTATTTTTCACGATTTTGAGTAAAGAAATAAAACTTTCTTAAAATGTCTGCATTTAAATTTATATTATGGACTTTTTCTTTTGCCTAGATATGGGTAAGCAAGACACATCTTCATTGACTTATGTGGTAGAGCAAGTTGAAAAACAACAACAATCACAAACCTCAGAAATAGAGAAAAGCAAAAAAATGCTGTTTAATTTGCAGGTAACTTATATAGTCTTTTTAATGCCTTTACTTCAAAATGTTATTAAATTTGTGAGCTATTTAGAATTCAATAAATTAGAAAGTCATTTAGGATATTTACTATTGGAAGTCAATTTCAAATTCATATTTACTCTCAATTTTTCTATTCTCCTTAAGTAAATTTTATATTAGTATCTAATTTTATTATACATTTATGCTCCAGTACAAGTTTCTTTTTTTTTATCTTTTATTTATTAAATATAAATTTCCAAAGTACGACTCATGGGTTACAATGGCTTCGCCCCCCCCCATACCGTCCCTCCCACCCACAACCCTCCCCTTTCCCACTCCCTCTCCTCTTCCATTCACATCAAGATTCATTTTCGATTATCTTAATATACAGAAGATCAGCTTAGTATACCTTAAGTAAGGATTTCAACAGTTTGCTCCCACACAGAAACATAAAGTGAAAAATAATAGATGATTTTTTTTAAATGATGATGAAATCAGATCAGACCTATTGTCATGTTTAATCCCAGTGAGAGTCAAGTTGGGAATTGATAATTTCTTTTTTTTCTTTTTTTTTTTTTTACAGAGATCAGTTTAGTGCACATTAAGTAAAGATTTCAATCGTTTGCACCCCCATAGAAACACAAAGTGAAATATACTGTTTGAGTACTCGTTATAGCATTAAGCCTCAATGTACAGCACATTAAGGACAGAGATCCTACATGAGGAGTAAGTGCACAGTGACTCCTGTTGTTGACTTTACCAATTGACACTCCTGTTTATGGCATCAGTAATCTCCCTATGCACCAGTTATGAGTTTCCAAGGCTATGGAAGCCCCTTGAGTTCTCCGACTCTTATCTTGTTTAGACACGGTCATAGTCAAAGTGGAGGTTCTCTCCTCCCTTCAGAGAAAGGTACCTCCCTCTTTGAAGACCTGTTCTTTCCACTGGGATCTCACTCACAGAGATCTTTTTGCCAGAGTGTCTTGGCTTTCCATGCCTGAAATACTCTCATGGGCTTTTCAGCCAGATCTGAGTGCCTTTAGGGCTGATTCTGAGGCCAGAGTGCTATTTAGGACATCCGCCATTCTATGAGTCTGCTGAGTATCTCACTTCCCATGTTGGACCACTCTCCCCTTTATTTATTCTATCGGTTAGTGTTAGCAGGTACTAGACTTGTTTATGTGCTCCCTTTGACTCTTAGTCCTTTCATTATGATCAATTGTGAACTGAAATTGATGACTTGGAATAGTGAGATGGCATTGGCACATGCCACCTTGATGGGATTGAACTGGAATCCCCTGGTATGTTTCCAACTCTACCAATTGGGGCAAGTCAGCCCGAGCATGCCCCAAATTATACATCTCTTCCCTCTCTTATTCCCACTCTTATGTTTAACAGGGATCACATTTCAGTTAATTTTCAACACTTAAGAATAACTGTGTGATAATTACAGAATTAAACCAGTCATATTAAGTAGAACAGACAAAAAAACTACTAAGAGGGATAATGTATTAAGTTGTCCATTAACAGTCAGGGCTATGCTGATCAAGTCACCATTTCTCATAGTGTCCATTTCACTTAAACAGGTTTCCCCTTTGGTGCTCAGTCAGTTGTCACCGATCAGGGCGAACATATGGTATTTGTCCCTTTGGGACTGGCTTACTTCACTCAGCATGATGTGTTCCAGATTCCTCCATTTTGTTGCAAATGCCTGGATTTCGTTGTTTCTTACTGCGGTATAGTATTCTAAAGAATACATATCCCATAATTTCTTTATCCAGTCTACCGTTGATGGGCATTTAGGTTGGTTCCAGGTCTTGGCTATTGTGAATTGTGCTGCAATAAACATTAGGGTGCAGACTGCTTTTTTGTTTGTCAATTTAAACTCCTTTGGGTAAATTCCAAGGAGTGGGATGGCTGGGTCGAACGGTAGGGTTATCTTCAGGTTTCTGAGGAATCTCCAGACTGATTTCCATAGTGGCTTGACCAGTTTGCATTCCCACCAACAGTGGGTTAGTGTCCCTTTTTTCCCACATCCTCGCCAGCATCTGTTGTTGGTAGATTTCTGTATGTGAGCCATTCTAACCGGGGTGAGGTGAAACCTCATTGTGCTTTTGATTTGCATTTCCCTGATTGCTAGTGACCTTGAACATTTTTTCATGTGCCTGTTGGCCATTTGGATTTCCTCTTTTGAAAAATGTCTATTGAAGTCCTTGGCCCATCTCTTAAGTGGGTTGTGGAGTTTCTTGATCTCTTTGTAGATTCTGGTTATTAACCCTTTATCTGTTGCATAGTTTGCAAATATTTTTTCCCATTCTGTCGGTTGTCTCTTCACTCTCCTGACTGTTTCTTTTGCAGTACAGAAACTTCTCATTTGATGCAATCCAATAGTTGATTTGGCTTTGGACTGCCTGTGCCT